GATGGTGAGCTTCTTCTGAAGATACAGCTACCTTGAAGTAGACTGCCAGAAGTAAGGCTGCCAATTTGTGCAATTGACCCTTCCACCCGAAATATCACACACACACAGACACACACACAATAATCATACATCGGAGAGGTGGGTGAAGTGTTTTGCCCAAGGACATTGAACTGCCAACCTTTGGCCTGATGGGCGAATGCTCAAAGCACTTAGGCTTTTGCCCAATGAATGGCTATTGGTCTTTTGAGAGCAAACATGTTCTTTAAGTGTAAAAGCATGGCACTTTAAAAATAACCTGACTTTTTCTCATACTATAAAAGCAGAACTTTGTGACAAAAAACAAAGTAAAACATTGTTTATCTATTGCAAACTTAAAAAATAAATAAAGTGCTTTGTGTTTCACTTGCTCTAAAGCTGTGCTAATGCCCCAAATTCATGCATGTGAATACTACTCTGGTCTGTAGTACTTAACAAAACATTTGGTATTGTACATTCTCAAAGACAACAAAATGACCAGAAAGGCTAAAGAGAAGAAAAAAGCAAAGCAGTCTGCATGGTTTTTGAAAGTATAAAACAGACAGAAAATCAGAGTCAGCACTTAACCAGTGGGAAGAAGCTCCATGTTTAGTAAAAGTTTATAAAAAAAAGCTCATGTATGCATCTCTTGCAGCCCCAGAGCTTTGCTGAGGTCTTTTCAAACTAAATTAATTGAGACTAATTACTGGGCTATATGATGAATTGATATAGGCGGCATGTAATTAGACTGCATCATGAGAAATGCCTCGAAAAGACAAATGACTGTATGCAAACTCCCACACATAAGCCTTGTTAGTATACAACATTATAAACACATCTTTGTTTATGTGTTGCAATGGTATCATATGATCACACTGAGCCTGACTGTTCACTCACTGTGTTGGTGTATCAGCCAGAACATACTCACTGAAGGGTTGTAGTTGATTAAGCCACAGCTGGAATTCTCAACCTTTGTCCGAGTTTACATGCATGAGAGGGGCCTGCACACTCTGCCCTGTGCTGAGGGTGCGTTCAGGTTGACTGGGAATTATGACAATTTAAGATTGTTTTTGTTTATCAGTTTGATCTAGGGCTGCACAATGAAAAAAAAAGTGATTCTTCTGACAAGTATGTGGATTGGATTTACAATGTCTGTTTAAGAAGTAGAACTGTGTTCAGGTAAACTACAAGTTCCGTAAGATGTATCTATAAAAAGACTAGATATTTTTTGTTCTGTTTTGCCTTATTTTAAACCAGTCTCTTGTTCTTTTTGCTACTTATTTTTAATTTACTGCTCTTTGTTATTATAATATATTGTGGTATGTGAGCCTGTGTCCAAATAATTGCCCCTGGTGGATCAATAAAGTTTGTCTAAGACTAAGTCTGTACAGAGGACTTTCTAATACCCAAATACTTGCAGCCTTTCTAATTTCATAATTGTGCCAACTCAAATTCCAATTTTGATTCCATTGCGTCATGTTGTGCAATCCTAATTTGATCTATGAATGTCAGCAGGAACAAAGCAACCTTACAAAAGAATGTTAAAAAACTTTTATAAAATAAATCAGTAGCCTATAAATTCTTCTGCAAGCTCAGTATATGCATGTCTATCGCTACTGAAAAAGTTCTGGTTACATGAAATGAAAAATGTACATTGGGTTTCTTTCTGACATGTGCATTTAAAATAATTTCAGTGTATAAATTAGACCTTGAAAGACAAAAAAATAAGCATAGTATATAACATGCATGAGTTGGTATGTTGTGTCCACCCCCACTCAACCAAATCACTACTTTCACTCCGGCCTTTCCCCCTCTTATGGCCTCAGGTCCGCAGTAGTAGTTAGCAGGTCTTTCCTCTTCGGTTGGTTGGTCGGTTGCCTGACAAAGTCTACTACCCTGGGCCTGGTATGTCCGCGTCATACCCTCCCCCATATTCCACCCCCCTCCCTGTCTCTCCCCTTCCAACCCCCAGTGTTAGCCTTGACTCAGGCTTACTGCCCCGCTCGCTCTCAGCTGCTCGGCTCAGTGCTGACTGTTGATTGGTGGGTGAGGTCCAAGGAGGAAGCCTCGCTAGTATTTATAGAGAGTCTCTCATTTAGCAGAACAATAACAGCCCTCCCCCACACGAGCAGAGGAGTGACTGACAAACTGACTTTTGGTTTCTCGTCAAAGGGGAAATGAACTCAGAAAGACCCAGAAAATGTTGCTCTATATAAGTATAGAATAGTTTGTGTAGAATAGTTTATTAGAATAATCTAGTCTTACTTAATTAATACCCATAACTCTTCTAAGTATTTTATTTTATTTTATTCCATTCATTCTTTTACGTCCAATATAATTTATTTACTTGCATCTATCCCCCCACCAATCAGCGAACGCCATTTAGCATTCTCTACCGTGCGTGGCGGTATTATGTAATTAGCAGGCTAAATTTGTTACGCAACACTGCATACTAGCTATGAACAGTATTGAAAGTAACCTATATTGGCTACTCAGCTTTATACATCACCACCTAAGCTATAGGATTAGCCAGTTAGACCGGATTGAGTCAGTGGTCATTACTTGTATGGGACAGGCTATCTATTTTACCTGGTGGTGGAATAAAAATACAAACAGTGGGTCAGAGCACTGTCAACTCCCACCCACGGTGCATTCACAGTTGCATTATCCTGACGGGAGCCATCGCATAGTCAAAGGTGCAGGAGGCTGATAATAGCTGGAGCAATGACACAGCTAATGGGGGAAGTGACAGCTATTTAGCATGTGAAAAAACATGGCTGCCTGCTAATGTACAACTTTAGCACTACCATTCCAACAAAGTCCAATGGGATATAAGATGACAATCGCAAATTATTTTCTCATACAAACAAACATGATCTATTTTTTTATTCAAGTTTGTTTTCACTGTAGAGACCATGTTATGTTCCATGTATATATCAACATACCAGATGAAAAAGACTATTCCTCTTATCATTTCACGTAAAACACCAAAGTATTTGCATTTGCACTGTTTTTCTTGCAATTTCTGTGACCTCATTTACTGGTAAGATAGTTACTACTATTTAAAAAGTTGCAATTAACTACACCAAGAGTGAGAACTACAGTTACAATTTCCTTGCATGCACCACTTAGTTTGTTATAGTACGTTTTCACAGCCTTTTCAAATCAGTTCACCCTCCTCTACCATCTTTTTTACAGATTGAATCATTTAATTATGCATTCTACACAGGACTGGAGAGCAAATGTTGCATAAAAGTGAAGGTCATCTGCAAATACCTCGACTTCCTCACTATCCTTCTCTGTGTTTTTACAAAGAAAGGCTCTGGAAGTGCACACAACGGGGCCATCAGTCTTACAGTCCATTCCAGCGTGTAGCCTGGCTCCATGGGGCTCTCTCAAAGCCTGCTCTCTACTGTTGAAGTGTTAACAATGGACAATGGTCAGCGTGGACATAAAGATTGGAGACAGTAGTTCATGTTTGGTGCGTGTGTCTCTCAGACATCCTGCCTGACAGGACTGAGAGCTGAATAAAGATACACTGTCATCTTCTGCAGCAGCCGTCACTTGTGCCATTGTTATTCAGCTGAGAGCCATGGCAGTAACAAAAGGACAGCACACTCCACAATGAGGCCTTTAAAGCATTATACCATGAAGGTGTGCTCACAGCAGTTAAGCTCCCGCCCGGAGCGGCCGCAGACAAAAAGAAACCTTCTGTTGCTCCTTTGGCTCATCTGCACTGACCAAAACAAGGCCTGCTTGTTGCTATGGATAATTTGATAAGAAATGCTCAAGAACTGAGACCTTCCCCCTTTTGTTTATCAATGGACCATTGATCTTAAATTGTGTGTAACTATTACATGACTGAGGCTGTTCAGGGCCTTACCGGCATTTTGATATGGATTATTTTATTTTTATACAGCCTGCATGTCAATGAACTTCCATGTCATTATCATACAGTGAATGAAAACACATGAACACACAGGAACTGCACTGTTGTTTGATGTGATGTATATATAGGCCTGGACTCTGTTTTTGGCATTGCCTTGCTATTTAAAGTCCATTTGCAATAACATCACGTGTGGTAACTTGTGTTTATTGTCTGTGTTTGGCCTGACTGGCTGTGTGAGTTTCTCACACCTGGGAGTGGCTTATTAGCACTAGTTGAGAATGCAATGTCAAACAATGACAAAGCCTACCAGCGGTTGGCCATTTACAGACAAGTTTCCTGGACAATGGCTTGGCTTGCTTTCCAAAGTGCTTCTTTTCATTTGCAAACACTGGCGAGAGGCTGTTGTCCTAAGTGGGCAATCAGAGGCGTGTGCATGTGCAGAAACATGCACACAGTCGTGTAGGCATCTGGAGAGCACATCCAGCCCAGCTCCAGCCCTGTGCCGCTGCAGCCTCTGTGGCCTAGAATAGCAGACTGCATTCCACTGCCCCCTCCACCACTGCTCAGCCCAGCCGGCAACAGCACCCAGGTCACATGGAGCAGTGATCTTGGAGATGAGGCCTTACCACATACCAGGGCAGCATTCAAACATACACGTGAGACAAACAGACCAATCAATCTGTAAATCAACTAATAATCACCTATCTATCTATCTATCTATCTATCTATCTATCTATCTATCTATCTATCTATCTATCTATCTATCTATCTGTTTGTCTGTCTATCTGTCTATCTGTTTGTCTGTCTATCTGTCTATCTGTCTGTTTGTCTATCATCGTAAAATCATAATCTATTATAAAAACAAAGCTCACTTAGTTTATAAAAGCAAACAACGTGTCAAAATATTCTTTCAAAAAGAAACAGTGGGAGGAGAGAATTAAAACATGCGACTGTGTCACAACTCCCCAGCAGGCTTTTTTTCTACGCCCATACACAATAATGTTACGAGGGGCCAATAGGAACAAAGAAGAGGCAGGACCGAGGCTCCACCTCTCTCCAACAGCCTTCCTCTGAGCTTTTTAGATGTACATAATCCCTGAGTTGACCCAGAAAATAGGCAGTCGTTTCAAGATCTGATGCGGCAGTCTTTGTGCACACCGTTCTCGCTGAGCATGAAGCGTAACCCAGTGGAATACAGAGTCTAAACAGAGGAGCTCCGTTTTTACACTGGAACTGTTTAAAAGGACGGAACCAGAGCAAAGTAGCGCAACTTTGTGGAGCTGTTACGGTTTCGGGTAAGTGCATTTCTATCGTTTGTGATTGTATTAAAGCAGTCCTGGAAGCTGTCGATCCATTGTTTAATTTGCAAACTCGTGCAGTTCAAATTTATATGATTTCCGTATTAAGTAGTCGATACAACAAAGAGCAACTTGCGTTCATTGAATGCACATCCCGGACAGAAATGTGGATATTCAGCTGCTGGGATGTTGTGTGATGTCAGTGTCTTTGTTGCAGCGTACGTGCGTAAAATGTAACTCATATTTCTGTTAAAACTGACGCGCATCAAATAAGCGATTTGAGCCACAAAGCAAACTGTTCATGTTTTATAGATACTCGTAAATGTAACCAGCCGTGTGCGGATTATTAAACTGAAAAATGTGTCCAAACAATATGTGATGTGAACCTGTAATTCCAACCTGGGCGTTCATTCCTTGGCACAAAGAGAAAGAGGATTGAGGAAGACTAAGCACTCCAGTAATGTCTTTTCAGTATTCGCCCAAAGGAACAAAACGCTTCTACGTTTTATTTCCGGGGGTTTATTGAGTTATGAAGGCAAGTGGAATAGTGAATTAGAGTCGTGTTAGAACCGTGCACTTTATCATAGATGGGAAGCCAATTCCGTGGCGTTCGCACAAGTTGCACCATTCACAAAGAAAACAAAATCGCATTGGATTGGCTCATGACTGGTCAGACACATTCCCGTTTGTTGTTATAGTGCGTGAACATGTTTGGTGAACATTGTCTTGATCAGTGTCTCTCTGCTTCAGACAGGAGGCATGGCAGACCATCTGATGATGCCCATGAATCACAACTCAGCAGGTGGCGGTCTCCACGGTTACAGGATGGGCATGAACGGCGGCCTGCAGGCAGGTCACCAGCAGCATGCTAACCAGCAGGGCATGCGGCCCATGCCCAATGGCCAGATGATGCACTACGGAGGTGGGCAGGCCAACATGGAGACGGCCATGAGGCAGCGTCAGGTCATGGGTGCACCCATGAACGGACAGATGAACGGGGCACAGATGGGCCATCACCAGATGACCTCTGGAAACATGATGTACAACGGGCAGCACCATCCGGGACAGCAGCAGCACCACATGCACCCGCAGCAGCACCCGGGCCAGCACCCGCCCCAGTCCCAGCACCCTCAACAGCACCCACCCCAGCATCCACAACAGCACCCCCAGCAACACCCACAGCAGCAGCAGTTTATGAACGGAGGACTCACATCTCAGCAGCTCATGGCCAGCATGCAGCTGCAGAAACTCAACACTCAGTACCATGGACACCCTCTCGGACCTATGACCGGGGGCCACATGGGCCCCGCTCAGTACCGCATGAACCCGGCCCAGCTGGCCAACATGCAGCACATGGCCGGGCCCACACTGGCACTCAATGGTATGGACGCCGATATGATCGATGAGGAGGTTCTCACCTCACTAGTCATGGAGCTAGGCCTAGATCGAGTGCAGGAACTACCAGAACTTTTCCTCGGACAGAATGAGTTTGACTTTATTTCAGACTTTGTCAACAAACAGCAGCCTAGTACTGTCAGCTGCTGAGAGGATCTGCTTTTGCCACAAATGGAGGAGCAAGGAGCATGAATTGTCCTGGATGGATGAGTGCTCAGTCCTGCTTTTTATTTTTAACTGCACCTTTCTGCACAAAGCAGCAGCAGGACGCACTGAGGACCCCGGGACCCCACTGTGGGACCCCCTGTGGACCCAACTGTGGGACACAGACCAGTGTCGCACTTGTGCTTGTGGCCACAGGTGCAGGCTCAAGGCTTCAGCCCAGATTTCTGGACTTGAATGTAATAAACGCCACTTGAACAATGCTATGACACTGTGTAGCCCCAGGCCCGGACTCCATCTTGATCTTTGCATACAGAAAAAGGTGCATTTATTTATTCTAATCAGAGAAAACAGATTCAAAGTACAGCTTCCATGTTTTTGGGAAGTATTATATTTTAGTTGAACAAAATGCATTCTCTGCCATTCTCTTTTGGGTTTAGAGTATATGTTGGCGTGGTCAGTGTATGACCACAGCACTCTGTTATCTCATTTCTGTGGGAGTATCATGCATAAATGGTTCACTTATGGGAAAGTGCTGCCTTTTTAGATGTGATGTTCTCTGAGTCTACTGCTTGTACTGTACTAAACCATGAAGCTGTATTCACCATGTTGACACTGTTGTGTTCTATTGGAGATGTAGAACCGCCTTAATTTAGCAGATTATTATTTATTGGTTGTTTATATTGTCCCCTGTTTGTGGTCAAGATGGGGGTGTATTCTGTCAGAGGGCTTTGGAGGATCAATAAAGATGGCCTGGATAGAAGTGTGGCCTGCTTTCCCATTCATTGCACTGTTCTCCCCCCAGGCGCTCAGAGAAGTCAGTGCTCAGTGCTTGGGTTAACATGTGGGTGCGCCCAAACCTCAGCCTGATTTGGAGGCATTTAAACAGATACAATATTCATGTTTCCTGTGTTCTGTGCAGGGGAGGGCGTACTGCAAATCCCCAGGGCTTTACATGTGCGTTCTGTTCTTGATCAGATTCAGTGTACTGTAACAGATGCCAACATGACTGACATGTAGTAATTGCACACACATCTTGATTATCACAGGCTTGGCTGTTGCTGATGCTTAAATAATAGTTTTATATCTAAAGAACAAATGATTATGGGTGCAAATAGCTGTTAAAAATATTCACACAGATTATTATGGTTAAGTAATTATGTTTTAAGTTAATATCTTTTGTTTCTTGGTTGTCTGTATTCCCGTTACAGACCATTACCTCATTACAATTCAGTTTTTTTGTGCGTCCCAAAGTCCACAAGGGTTACCTGTTATTTATTTATTTGTATTTTTTGGTAATGTGATTGGGGAGAAAAATGATAGAAAGGTCCTACACCTGATATAAGATACAAGGTAAGCTGATGCTAAAGAGTTAGGAGGTTCATTGCATTCCAACTCGGGTAAAAAGGTTAAAAGTCCTATATTACACAAAATGGATTCCTGTGAGTGTTTAGCCGTTATAATGCTGATACCTCATCAAAAACATACCCAGAGTTTTGTTTTGAGTCATTTACACGTGTTTGAGTAGTCTGGCATTGTTGGTCTCTCTACATCTCAAAAGTTCAAAATGATTTGTTCCACTTTCTGATCTCTTGTAGTGGTGGTTTTCAAGTAACAGTCACCTTTTAGTTCAGCAGAGATTGGCAATTCCAGGGTTGGAATTTTCAGATGATTCTAGTGAAGATGTATGGAGTTTAAAAACACAGTGGAGCCATATTACATCACTAAATGGAACAGAGGGTTTTCTGTCTGAGAGAAGAACACAGCCTAAATATGGAGGGTTTATGTGTTTAACATGTGTGAATGAAGACAAAACACTGCAGGTTTGTGATGAGGAAACAACATTATAATACAGATCGCCCAATAGTGTAATATGAGCCCTTTAAAAATATATCGTTAGTAATTACTATTGCAAGATAAGGTCAGTGTTAAGAATACTGGAATAATACTACTAATAACAGAGTGCTACAAACAGTACAACAAAGTACTTCAGCAAAACTTCCAACACATTTATTATTGTCCCGATTGGTTCCATCATTCTCCCCACAATACCTATAAACAATCTTGAGAATTCACCACTCCTCTCCGGAAAGCCACAGCCACTTGTCGAGTAGTAAAACAATTTTCCCCATATGATTGCGTTCATTATGAAATGAGGTTAAAGAGATTCTCCGCAGCAGCCCCGTTTGCCGGATTGTTATGTGCCTCGGAGCAATGAAAACGCTTGATTGAGGTCATGTTGGGAATGCCATCATGGCGTTTAGTTGTTGCCACATTGTCAACAAAAGCATCTTTAGCAACATCGTGAGTAACAGGGGGAGCATGAGGAGCTCTGGTAATGCGCACCGCCAGTAATGCTGTTTGCTGATTACTCACTTTTCCATTCCACTTGCCTCCCTACTATGTAATTGTATTTGTTGTATTGTGGCTGAGGGTGGTTGGAGTTTAAGAGTTTTCAAATCAAGTGCTGCCTTTGAAAATATGTAGCTCAAAAGTAGTTATAAAAGCCTAGATACAAAATTATATTGTTACATATAAAGTGTACTTGTTATCAAGGCAGGTTAAGCAATAAAAAAAAAATCAAGAAGTTGTTGCTTCATTTGGGTTCAGAATTGACCAACTGTATAGCAACTGTAAGTAGCTTGAGCTCTTACAGTTTAAAAAAAAAGTATTGCAATCACAACTGAACCTGGTTTGCCAATACCCTAAACCTGTATAGAGGAGACATTCAAGTTTTTCTCATTCTCAGTATATAGGCACCCTGCAGGCTACAGAGGCTGCACTAGCACTGATTCATGATTGGCTGCTGGTGCTAGGGTTTAGGCTCATTCTGTTTTCTGATTGGATAAGCATCTTGAGAACTAGAACACCAACTATAACATAAACAACGTAGCCATCATGTTTTTGCCATTAAAAATAAATCAGCATTATCATTTTTACCAGCTTACATTATATTTGATTTGTATCTGGGGACAAGGTCGTGTTTATGGAATGTAAACTAAATATCTTACATACATTCCCTTTAAGATTTTTACTTTTTCTAAAAATAACAGAATTATTATCCATTCATATAAGTTCCCCAAACTGTATTCAGTGACTGTGAGTGGAGTAAGAGGCCTGAATGAGTTTGAGTTTCAAGTAACAAAGTGCTTTAGGCTATGTGTTGGAGAGCTTGTACTTATCACTTACGACTTCACTATTTGTGTAGTTCAACAGACACTGACTGGAAAACATGCTTACTCTGGTGTAGAGGATATTGTGCTAAACATGTTCAGGAGGTTCAGGTGACAACACCACATTATACAATACCTCAGGTAAAACTGAAATATTAATTTGCTGTTTAACTGACAAATAAAATGTGGATATTTGGCTAAAAGAAGTGATTCCAAACAAACTAATCAGGTAAAACCTTTATGGATTTTGTTTGGGTATACCAAATGTCAGTGTCTTTCCCATTGCCCTTCATCTGAAATCATGACATCATATTTTACAATGTCATGAACGCAACCTTGTATTGCAGCTGTCTTATTATGTTTGATTTGTTGCCATCCAAACTTGATTTTAGTTAAATATTGGTTCCTAGGGTTACAAAAATGCTACAAAATCATTTTAGATTTCAACCAACTCGATTTCATTGAAACAACCCAAATAAAGACAAATGTGTGAGCCTCATTTTCTGTTTGGATAATCATCTTAAGAACCAAAACACCAAACTATAACTATATAAACTGTCCAATGTTTTAGTCATTAAGAATAAATCAGTATTACAATTTTTACCAGTATAAGTTATATTTGATTTGAACATTTTTACCTTGTATCTGGAGACAAAGTCATCTTAGAATTAGATTTAAGACTCCTTCTTTTTCAAATCTTTAACATATAAAAACTTAATAACTGAAATATAATCCAGTTGTATGAGCTCTCAAAATTGTCAACTGTTGTTACTGAAAGTGAGTGAAGTAAAAAGTCTGAATACTTTTGAGATTCAAGTAACAACATGCTTTAGGCTATATACTTACCACTCCTTTACAATGTCATTCTGCTGTATAGGATATTCTGCTAAGGTGCCACCACAATACTATAAAATACCTAAACTTTAAAATTGAGATGGTAATTTAAAAAGTGGATATTTGGTTATTTTCTCTGTAAATACTGGCCCTATCCACATAAAACAGAAATAGCCCAAAGTTCAACATCTTAACTGTCTGTGCAAATGAAGATGTAATCACTTTTTCTACCAAGGCAAAAACTGGCGGCTCTCGATCCCTAACAAACTATGATGAGGTTCAACATCTGTGAGTTTTCTGTCATACCCAAATATTTCTTTCACAAACACTGAATCTCCTGAAGAGTTATAAAAGGCTCTTCATCTGAAATCATGAAAGTGTTTTTTAGAATGTCAATAACGCAACCATTTATTGCAGCTGTCTTATTACATTTGATTTGTTGCCATTCAGACTTGATTTCAATTAAATATTGCCTCCTAGGGTTACAAAAATGTTACAGTCAATCTGATTAAAGGAACTATGTGCTACCAACTGTGCTCTTAGGGTTTTAAAAATGGCACTAAAATCAGAACTAAATGTGAGGCACTAGTGCCTTAACCTGCATATTGAGGACACATCCAAGTTTTTCTCAGGCTTCAAGCTCAGAACCTCCAGAATTGACTCACTGAGCTGCAGAGGATGCATTAGCACTGATGAATGGTTAGCCGTAGATGCTGGGCTTTAGGTAGTGAGGAGGATTCAGATCAAAGAGAGTCATTTTAGGTTTAAACCAACTGGATTTCACCATTGAAAATGGCAACCCAAATGAGAGGCGAGGCTCTTACTGCTTTCTGATTGGGTAATTGTTTGAGAATGAAAACACAAATTATAACATAAACCAAATGTCCATCATGACCAGTGTATTTGAAATAAAGAATAAATCAGTATTACAATTGTTATCAGTAAACGCTGTATTTTATTAGTCTGCTCCTATCTGGTGTGAATTTTAAAGGTGTGTTTTTCTGGTGGAAGGTTCACTACCTGCTTGTCTCCATAATCCGTGATGTTATTGCTTTGCCTGGGATGTTCAACAGTATGGCATTAAACAAATATATCTTGTATCTATTCAGTTACAGGTGTTTTTATTTTTTTAATCTCAAAACTACTGCAAAAACATGCATCAAAAACATGGCGTCAGGCAAGTGGTGGATGCTCCAGAAGTTACACAGAGCACCTTTAAAATTAAAACCTTACTTACGATTCCTTTAATTAATATGTTACAGCAATGACACCATACTAAAAACACCAAAAATGGCAGCATCAGTATTGGTGATTCTGTGTAAAGTAAGTGCCTAAATGCATGTGTAGATTCTAGTACTAAAATCTAGCTGGAGGCAGTGTTGGGGAGTGTGCATTTCTCTGGCTTGTGGAGAGAATAGCTCGTAAGTAGGCCAGCAGCCGCCTTGGCACACTGCTTAGTAACGGTCGCAGGTCCTTTTGCCCACTGCCAATCTGGTGAGCTGCCTCTCCGCTGTGGCACATGGGGCACACTGGCTTCCTTACAAATCTCTGTCTCCGCGCCTATCTTCTAATTGTACGCTGCAGTGTTAAGGCCCATTTAGAAGCAGTTTTTTTCTTCTTCTTCTTTTTTTTTTTGTATTTTGATTGTGACGCCATAGAGTTTGAATTGCCATGGTTGTTTGCTCTCCCAATCCTTTGTTATGTCTGCAGCCTACCTTCACAGGGGCCAGTCTAGACTCAGGGCTATAAGCTGGGTGGAGACGTTAGCAGTTAGCGATGTTGTTTGAAAGAGAGCCCACCCACAGCCACTGCTAGTCTTCCTGTGGTACTTGCCTGTTTCTCGGTATAAGTCACAAACTAGAAGCCACACGCAGTCAGATAAGCAGGACATAAATGTAAGGATTTCTCCACAACAACTATTACAAATAAGCTAAAGGGGATTTCACACTTGGGATTTCCCTAAACATTTGCATGGCTCAATACCATTCATTAAAAACATTTACCATAAACATCATGCAGAAAACTTTCTTGTGTGGGGCATGTTCAAAGTTGTTCAAGTTGCTTCAAAATATACTTCAACATTTAAATATTTATACAGTGTTAAGTTTCCATTAGTCTTAAAATAGTTCAAAGGGCCTGTATTATGCTATTTTCTGATCTGTTAAAACTTTATTTTCTCATCAAAAACATACCTGAAGTTGTGTTTTGTTTCATTCACACATGTGAATGAACACACAAACCCTGCATATTTAGGCTGAGTTTTTTACTCTGTTCCAACCTGTGATGTCATGTGGTAATATAGGAAGTGCTCTGCAGTGTTTACAAAGCTCATACACCTTCACTAGAATCATTTGGATGATTTCAGCCTTGGGATTTCCAATGACACAAAAGCTAAAAGGTAGCTGTTAACTTGCTGTTAACTACCACTACATGACATCATAAGGTGGAACAAAGCATTTTGGGATTTGGAGATGTGAACTAATGTTTCTCAGACATGTGTGAATGAAACACAACTCCAGATATGTTTGTGATGAGGGGACAACATTATAGCATGACTAAAAGCTCATAACAGTCAAGTGTGCATAATATAAGACCTTTAAATACAGTCAGGGCTTACAGCGGTCCCCTAGCCAAGCTGACGCCACCTAGTGCCTCCACTCAATTTCATTTCTCTTAAGCGACTAGGTCAGGAATCGGAATACATTAGACGATTTGCAAGAACCCCGGAAGTGCGAAACACTGCTGATTGGCCCAAAACCGGGCCAATCAGCAAAGAGTCATACATTCTGTGTTGGCAATGATTCCCGAGATTTAAAGCTGGAACGAAGAGAATGTTTGGTGAATTTTATCAAGGGGAAAGACGTTATTGCCCTTCTTCCTACAGGATTTGGGAAAAGCTTAATATACCAGTTAGCCGTGTTAGTGGCACATTACATACGTCATGACCAAATAGCAGCGATTGGTTAAATGAAAAAAGTACCCAACTACCGTCCAGTGAACAAATGCGCTGCGAGGTCAGATGGTTGCCACAGAGTGAAACCAGCTGATGAATCAGGCTAGCGGCCCCCTAATATTGTAGGACACTTTTTCATATGTATACTGAAAAGTTACGTTATAGCACATCTCAAAACATAACAGAGAAAAATAGGCTTATCTTCAGTGACAAATGTAAGTACTGGCCAGCTTAACCAGTGGCCAATATATGTTCAGTTCTGTCCTCCTTGTACCCTCACACATAACCCTTGTATCTATGCATTGGCTGCAGTCTCATTTTATTTCTCATCTTGTCTACTGGCCCAGCTGGTGCCAGGCCTGGACTCGGGATGCTCCTGTAGACCTGCTGACGGATAGGGTGTAATTTACTGTTGTCACGGCTGGCCAGGTCGGTCCTTCCATATATAGACACACACACATACGGACACACAACACAACACACACATGTGCGCACACAAACATACACGCACACACATACACACACACACACGCACGCACACACACACACAGACACACACACACAGACGCACACAACCTGATCAAACAGCCTAACAGGGATACCTCAATATCAGTGGAGCCAGGCCAAGATAAAGGATTTAGGTCCTATGTGGTCATTGTGTCTGAGGCTGTCCACCTACGCCAATGCTGGCTACAGAGATTAAGGTGCGCCTACTAGACCAATTGAAACGTGAAAACAAAATGAAAAACAGAATGTGGGGCTAATAGGTTGGGTTTATGTGAAATCATAACATTCTAAACTACTTTTGCTTTCAAACTTGAGCAATAGGGTGGATGGGGAAGCTATGAAAGAATTAAAAAGTGTTCTGATTAGATAAGATATGGTTTATTTCTTCCACAATAGAGGAATTCAATTTTTGTATCATCAGTGTCAGTTGAAAGGAATTTTTTGGATCCCATCTCTAAGAAACTGCTCAAGATTTACAGATATGGTTTGATATGGTTTGGTTATTTGGTTATTTATAATGATTATTTGGTTATTTATATTACTCTAGTTGTGAACACAAACCATTTGGAAAGAAATTCAGTGAGTGGTTCTGTACAAAGTATTTGAATAGTTGAGTTTTATATTCTCATTTTTATTTAAAGAAAATCTATTGTACTTTTGTCTTATATCGAGGGTCTCCAACCTTTTTCCTCTGCTGAGCTACTTTTATAAGACAAAAATGCCAGAGAGCTACTAGTTTTAGCAGTCACAAGAAATGGAGCATATATAAGAGCCACGGCAAGCGAGTACAGTTAGATGCCTATAAAACATAAACCATTATCCATTTATTAGTGCAAGTTAGGTATCAAAATGACACATGTACAATGGTAAAAGGCATTTAATTCATCAAATTTTACTTATCCAGCACAATACGTGTAATTCTGAAAACCTTTGGTGAGCTACTTAGAAAGGGGTGTAGTTCCTGAGCTACAGGTTGGAGACCCCTCTCTTATATAGTTATAATCTATAACCCATGGATCATTATGTTATAATTTTGACATTTTAAATTGCAGCATTGACCTAAAAGAAATAAGTTTGCATTAGAAAACTTGCATGCCCAATGGGAGCTGATGTTTACGGCAACGTCATCACAACAAAGACCTGTGCAGCTGTTGGCACCTCCAATGGACAGCTGTTCCTACACATATCACACTGATTAAGAAAAT